GTGTTATATTTTTGTGCTTTCTTCCTCTCCCTGTTTGAATTAAAATCTTCCTTGATAATGACTGTTTTCATCTTCTACTCTTGTCTCTGACCACCCGGTGAGCTCCTTCTCTGTCTTCAGCCTCATTCCCCTGACAGCAGAGGGACCATGCTGGCTTTCCCCGTGTCTAACCCTTGTCCTCTCCTACTGACCAACAGGCGTGTCACAGGCAACACTGAATAAAGCCTGGCGTGTGTGCGTGCGTGCGTGTGTCCATCCATCTGCATGTGGATCAGTTGCTTTTAAAAGATAATTTATTGTATGATTTATTTTGGAGTTAATAGTTCTGATTAAAAGTATTCTTCCCAAATGGCATTGCTATTATCCCCCCCTCTCCCAAAATGTAATCTGGTCTCAGGTTGGAACCCTTGGTACATTTCTTCTGAATGTCGTGCAGTTTAATTAAACCTTGCTTACAAACGAAAACACTAACAAACTTGAAGACTGTGTACTCTTGTCTGGAATACCGCTTCCAGTGATGCCACAGACGGGGAGAAAATGTGTGGCTCATGGTCCCACCTGCAGCTTCCCAGGGGTTTTTCCTTCCCTTTCTTGCCACTTTGAAACCATCACAGTTAAGTCACATGCTTACCAGGAGAGTCTGACGTCGTCATTCTGTATTTGCCACCATCACTCCCCTTTGCCCCATGATTTCAGGGAGCCCTGGAGGCCTCATGGCCTTGTGTCCTTTCTCCTGCATTCCTTACAATTCTTTCTGTGTTGTGTGGCAGGTGCTCAAGTTAAATGGAAGCAAAGGTAGGGGCAGGATATACAGTCTAGTATATCTGCATGTGGGTGTGGGCTGTTTTTCTTTACTGTCTTTTAAGCTGAACTCTTAGCTGGTTTTCATGAACTTTGACTATGTGTAAATATTCAACCACTTTCTGCTGACCGTGGCCAGCTGATACAATAACCACTATGGCTTAATAAGCTTAACTTGTACTTTCGTCACTAGCAAAGGTCTTGAAATTATTTCCCATACTGAATCATAATGGGTGTGTGTATGAATCATGCACATAATTTAGATATAAAAACCTGTGAGGGTGACAGAGGGTAAAAAAGGGCTCCTTTTATTTTCATTCATACTTACCAGATTGGCTGAATTCTTGATTTTTTTTTTGACTCACCATTGTTAGTATGATTAATAAACTACCTATTTATTGGTTTGATTGTTCATCCTGACTTTAAGTAGCCTGCAAATGAAGCAAAGCTGAATGACTTTCAGATTTCTAGCACTTTGATTCCTTTCGTCCTGCATCTTATTGGGTTGCTATTGCTCAAGTGAGAGGAGGTCGGACAGGTCCTTCCACTGTGATTTGATGCTTCCTCTGTGATACTCTATGCACTAGAAGGTGATAAGGGCACTAATTTGCTCGCTCTAATTATTACTGAGACACAGCTGTTTACAATATTTCACAACTCAATCCAGCTATGCAACTCACTGGGAAGAAGCTGCCTGTCTTTTACCTCATGGTATTCTCCTTACAGGCTAAAAACAAACACTGGGGCAGGTGTTGCAGTGTTGCAAGTTAAGATGACCCTTGGGGTTCCTGTATTGAGGTGCCTCCCAGAGTCCTGACTACTATGTTTTCAATTGAGGTTCTTGCTAAGATATCTGGAAGGCAGCTGATGGCCCAATGACCTGAGATTCCTGCACCCCACATGGGAGATCCAAATGGAGTTCCTGGTACAGCCTGTGCTGTTGGAGCCATCTAGAAAATGAACCAGTTGGGCCCAGTGCGATGGCGCAGTGGTTAAGGTCCTCGCCTTGCACGCCCAGGATCCCATATGGGCGCCAGTTCTGATCCCAGCGGCCCCGTTTCCCATCCAGCTCCCCGCCTGTGGCCCGGGAAAGCAGCAGAGGACGGCCCAAAGCTTTGGGACCCTGCACCCGCGTGGGAGACCCGGAAGAGGCTCCTGGCTTCAGATTGGCTCCGCTCCAGCCATTGCGGCCGCCTGGGGAGTGAATCATCGGACGGAAGTTCTTCCTCTCTGTCTCTCCTCTCTGTATATCTGCCTTTCCAATAAAGATAAAATAAATCTTTAAAAAAAAAAAAAAAGAAAAAATGAACCAGTTAATGAAAGGTGTTTCTTGCCGTTTTTGCAATAAATTCATCTTTTTAAAAAGTGACGGGGAGGATGGGTATCCTAACTTCAGTATCCTAACCATCAGAGAACAGCTTTCCCTGAGTCTGTACCTTTTACACAGAACTCATCCACTCGTAGGTTTAGGGGGGGTGAGACTGGAAGGATTACATGTGCACTAGATGTCCACAAAAAGACTTTATGAACTGGGTGGATGTCTACTTGGCAGAAATACGCTTTCCACGCCTTGATTCAGAAAGCAGTTTATTGTTTGACTTTAACCCTGAAATGAAGAGCAAGACATGATTGTTGTCTGCAAGCAGCTCATCAAATGGCTCTCAGGACAGCTGTGAGTACAAATGTGCGTAGTGCATCAGAAGGCTCTCTTTGGGATGGTGACTGGTGTCCTATATAGGAAACATCAGAAACAAAGCACTGAAGTGGCAGTATGGTGGTGTACACATCCTGTCACTGCAGCGTCACTGGTGGGATGGGAAAGCTTCCAGGGACCACATTCTGTGGTCAGCAGTCATTTGCTTTTGCAGGGATTTCTGGATCAGGGCTACATCTCCTAGTATTTTCATAGCATCAGATATGCATGGTAAGTATTTTTTTGTTGTTGTTTATAATTCTTTTATGATACAGTTCCATAGGCCTTGGGATTTCCCTTACTCCCACCTCAAGTCCCCCCCCCCCACTGAGTTCCCCTATATTATTACTACAGTATAGTTCTTCATAAACAGTCATATGTCCATCATTGCGGGCATGGACAATGGCAGGGAGTCCAACATCCTATTGTCAAGATACAGTTAACAGTTGCATTGGGAATCCATCTTTGATCTAGAAGTAGAGATGCCTAGTGCATTGTATCCTCACGTCTGGACATGATAGTGTCCATTAGTTACCATACATCCTATTAAATGAAAAGCCACAAGTCAAAATAACAGGAAGAAAAATAGAAACTTACAATGCCATGAAGTTCTCAAGAGATTTTGGTAGTTCAGCAGTCCCACCACTCGATTCCACCACTCAAATTGCGATGAAATCTCTCCAGAATCTGCTGGCTGCTATGGTCCACCTTGGAGTCTCCGTCTGCCCATATATTCACTGCCAATGCTTGCTTGGAGTAGTTGATCAATTTGTTTTGTCCTTCGTTCCTCCACCATGGTACCAGGCATCCTCTGAAGGCTCCAATGTACTGCCCTATCCTCCATGTGCATTTGGATATGCATGATAAGTATTTCTCCACTTTCCTCCATCACTGAGTCCTCTTGTTCATTACCTGCCAACCCTTAAATGCTGGCTGACCATACATGACCATTTCAAATCTGTCAAGAGCAATTTTTAGGGGCCCACATGGTAAAATTAGGATCAGTAAAGGATACTTCCTGGTTTCTGCTGTCCTAATAAAAACCGGTTGGGGTGGGGGGAGAGGCGGGGCAGCTTTGTGGCACAGTGTGTGAAATGTGGCAGTGCCTGCGATGCTGCATCCCATATAAGCACTGATTCAAGATTTGGCTGGCATGCTTCCAACACAGCGTCCTGCTTAAATGTGAAAGCAGTGGGAGATGACCCAAGACATGGGAGACCTGTCTGTTGAAGCCATTTGGGAAATGAACCAGCAGATGGAAGATGGATCTGTCACCTGCTCTGCCTTACAAATCTTTTTAACAGCCTTTTCTGGGCCCAGCGTGATAGCCTAGGAGCTAAAGTCCTCACCTTGCATGCATCGGGTTCCCATATGTGCACTGGTTCGTGTCCCCGCGGCCCCACTTCCCATCCAGTTCCCTGCTTGTGGCCTGGGAAAGCAGTAGAGGATGGCCCAAAGCCTTGGGACCTTGCACCTGCGTGGAAGACTTGGAAGAAGCTCCTGGGTTCTGGCTTCACATTGGCTCAGCTCTGGCTGTTGTTGCAACTTGGGGAGTGAGCAAGCGGTTAAAAAGATCTTTCTCTCCTCTCTGTAAATATGACTTTCCAATAAAAATAAATGTTTAAAAAAAAAAACACTTTCATGATGTCTTTAAGCAAAAAAAAAAAAAAAAATGTTCACCTTCACCTAGATTTGGGTGTTCTTTAAGGAACCTGAGGTGTAGAAGGATTATTAGATTTGAAGTCTGGGCTACAAATTACTGCTCTAATTTAGATTTTTCATTAGAAGCTCAGCTTGCCTCTTCTCTAATTGTCTTCCGTGGGCCTGAAACCCCAGTGTTTAGCCATAAAAGGCTCCTTAAGCCATAATTCTACTTCCCACCATGTGTGAAAGGTTGGTTAAGTAGTGCAGAAAGTCAAATTTTAAAATAAAAGCAAGGAGTATATTTCATTCATTACCACTGAAGCGCAAGTCAAAAGAGGCAGTGTGTTCGTTCAGCCCTCGGACCCCTTCCCGGCTGCCTACAGGCTTACACCTATATTCTACTACGCATAATTTGTGCTTTGCCTTGTAGGGTGCAGCGTCTGAGGCACCTTGCCGCGCAGTCGGCATCGTCCCCAAAACGGAAGGCAACAGTGACCACGCCAGCACGCCCAGCGCGAAGCCGAGTCGCCCCGGGAAAGACTACGTTTCCCGGCGGGCTTTGCGGCGCGGCCAACCAGCCCGACGCCAAGCAACCCGCCGCAAGCGCGCGTACTGCCGAAGCCCCGGATGTAACAGCGCGTCCTGCCTAGTGGGCGTGGCTTCACGTGGGCCCTGAGACCTGGGGCTCCCTGATTGGCTGAGGGACTTCCAGCTGGCTCGGCGACGGAGGAAGAGGCGGAGACCCAGGAGCGCGGCGCGGCGGCGACAGCCAATCAGAAGTGTTGGCCGGGCTTTGGCGGGAGACGGGAACTCCTGAGAGGACCCGATTTGGCGCGAGCGCGTTTGGGTCTTGCTGCCTGCTGGTGTTCGTTCGGTGTGTTCGTTCCGTGTGTTCGGGAAGGTGTGTGAGGGGAACTGAGGAGTTTGCGCCAACGAGACGCGGCCCTGAGAAAGGAGACGCTTCCTTGGGAGACCTTGGGTTTGGACGGGAGGCAGCGGGACTCGGTGAGGGTCGTGGTTCTTGCGAGACCGAGGAGCTGGGGAAGAGAAGGGAGATCGCGGGAGATCGGGCGCGGCAAGGTGGGCAAGGGCTGAGGCTGTGGGAAGGAAGTGTGCCCCTGAGCGCAGGGTGCGAGCGGGGGGCTGAGAGACGGAGCGGCTGTGTGAGGGCTTTGGAGAGGCCGCGGGCACAGCCTCTCTGGGGAGGAGAACTCGGGCCCTGCGGCCGGAATGCCTGGGCTGTGTCCCTGCTTTACAGCCACGTAGGCCTCTGCGCCTCACCTGTCATCTGTAAGATAGGGCTGGTAATAGGGCCTGGCTCTCCACCAATGAGTTAGTGTGTAAGGGATTGATAGCATTGGACACGAAGTAGGTGGACAACAAATGGTAGCTATAGTTACGCAGAAGAACGGGATGTGGAAAACTGCTGAGTGTTTGCACCTGTATAAGCCAGTCCCTGATTGTTTTCCCTTCCTTGTCACATATCTGGGTTTTTGGTTTTTTTTTCCTGTCTGCAGCGGTGTTGCCGTCATGCCTCAAACCCGATCCCAGGCGCAGGGTCAAATCAGCTTTCCAAAGAAGAAGCTCCCTGGGAGCGTGAACAAAAGCAAAAACTCTGGTGATGTCAGACAAAAGGCAACAAGTGCCCAGTCTCTGTCCTCCCCTCCTTCCTTTAAAGTTCTGCCTCTGAGCCCCAGAAAACGTCTGGGTAAGTTGAGATAAGGGCAGCTCTTGGGTGTGTGGGGGGGAGGGTGCATGTCCTGGAAGGAAGCCTTCTCAAGGAAGGCTATTCCTTCTAGTGTTTTCCAGAGTATTTGCCAGGTGTTTACTGACCTTCAGGGCTAAGCCACTTATGGAGATAACTTTCTGAACTGCTGAATAGGGCTAGTTGTGGGACCCCTTAAGACTGAGTTTAGTTGGCGTAGTGTTTTCATTGACTTTGCAGTTACATGGGTAAGAAATGTGCCGAGTGCTTGCTTCGGCAGCACATATGCTAAAATTGGATCAATGCAGAGAGGATTTAGCAAGGCCCCTGCACAAAGGATGGTGACAGTTTTGTGAAGCTTTATTACCATATCTTTTTTGAAAAATTGCCTAAGTCTTTGGAAAATTAAGAGAAACAAGAACATGACACTTCGTATTTTCTGTCCTTTCCTATTGTTGGGAGATTGGTTGGTAATCCTTTTGTTTTGGAGCATTTTCAACATGAGGGTGTGACGTGGTGGCTGTATCTGGAGACATTGTTGTTCTGGCAGAACGGGTGCTGTTGGCACAGTGACTGAAAGCCAGGAGTGCTGCTAAACTTTCTGCAATGTGTGTCTGACAGCCCTCTACACCAGAGAGATAGTGGCCAGAGGTACGAAGGGTTGGAAACTGTTGTGGAACCATCTTGGAAATTCCTTTGGTTTCCACATTGGTAAGATTCAGTGGCCCCCTCTGGTGGCCAATATTTGCTTCTACATGGGATGGCTCTGGCCGAGGTAGAAGAGGTCTTTGCAAGTCTTCTGATTCCACTGCTACAAATGACCGGGGTTTGATTTGAATGTTTCAGGTGATGACAACCTCTGCAACACTCCCCAGTTACTGCCCTGTTCACCACCCAAGCAAGGCAAGAAGGAGAATGGGCCCCCTCGCTCACATACCCCGAAAGGACGCAGATTAATATTTGACAATTCACTGACAATTAAGTCTCCTAGCAAAGGAGAGCCAGCCAGAGCTCCCCAAAACAAGATACTTGCCTCGCCTCGGAAAGGTCAAGAGGTCACAGCAACCTCTGAGCAGAGATGTTCATCTGAGAAAGAATCTGCATGCATGAGGCTGTTCAAGCAAGAAGGTTTGTTCTCTCACAGGACAGCTGCTCATGCAGCCATTGTAAACAGAACTGATGACTCTGAGTAAAATCTGGTGGGTCACCTTCTGCTGCGACTAATTGCCCTTCTCTGTCTGGCGCAGGTACTTGCTACCAGCAGGCAAAGCTTGTCCTGAATACAGCTGTTCCGGATCAGCTGCCTGCCAGGGAGAAGGAGATGGATGTCATCAGGACTTTCCTGAGGGAGCACATCTGTGGGAAGAGAGCTGGAAGTCTTTACCTCTCCGGGGCTCCTGGGACTGGGAAAACTGCCTGCCTAAGCCGGATTCTGCAAGACCTCAAGGTGTGCTGGCAAGCCACATTAGAATACTCTTGCTAAAATAGTTCCTGATCTTTCGGGGCTAAAAAAATAAATAAATAAATAAACATCTAAGAGGTTCAGGGTTTCCTCAAAATAAGACAGTTCTAGTTTCATTGTTCACATCAAATTAAAGGAAGGCTATTCTCTTGCCTTCTGTTAGCTTCTCCAAGACATTTTCATTTCAAATTCCATCAAATCTTTGAGGCCAAAATAACTCTTGTTGGCTTTTTTTTTTTTAGAAGGAACTGAAAGGCTTTAAAACTATCATGCTGAATTGCATGTCCTTGAGGAGCGCCCAGGCAGTGTTCCCAGCTATTGCTCAGGAGATTTGTCAGGAAGAAGTCGCCAGAACAGCTGGGAAGGACATGATGAAGAAACTGGAAAAGCATATGACTGCAGAGAAGGGCCCCATGATGTAAGTACTGCTCTGCTGTGCATGGCTCTGAGAATCGAGAAGCTCTGATGTCCACAAACCCAACCCTGCCGTGTGTGCCGAGTTACTCAGTTAAAGGGGGAGAAAAACCTGTACCACTGAAATATTATTACTAAATACATCGTATTTTGTTATATTATTAAATTTTTTAATTAAAATTTTCCTTAACAAAAGTTTTTAATAGGTATAAAAAGTAAGCACGCTTATGGGATACCATAAAATGTCTTCATATACGAACATACATTGAAGAATGTCTGAATGAAAGTAAACACACCTCTTCAAACGTCATTCCTTTGTGGTGAAAACATTCACTCCCCAAGGGCCTGCCACATCCAGGCCCGGGCCAGGCTCTTGCCAGAAACACAAATTTTGTCTAGGTTTCCCACATGATGGCAGGGGCCCAAGCACCTGAGCCATCAGCTGCCTTCCGTGATACGTCAGTAGCTAAACTGGGTTGAAATCAGCATATCCAGGATTAAGAAGTAGCATTCCTATATGGGTTGTGAGTATCCCAAGTAGTACTTTAATCTGCTATTGAAAAATATACACAGTACACTGCTATGTATAAATTAATGTGCAATTGAACACAAGAACTTGTTTTTTTCTTTTCAATTGGAAAGGCAGATCTTCCATCCACTGGTTCACTCCCCAAGTGGCTGAGTGAAAGATCTTTATATGTATTTGCCTTTCCAATATAACTAAATAAATAAAGTTTTTTTTTTATTGGAAAGTCAGATTTACAGAGAGGAGATAACAGAAAGTTTGTTTGTTTTTAAAGATTTTATTATTTATTTTTATTGGAAAGGTGAATATACAGAGAGGAGGAGAGACAAATAGGAAGATCTTCCGTTTGATGGTTCATTCCCCAAGTGGCCGCAACAGCTGGAACTGAGCCAGTCAGGAGCCAGGAGCTCTTCTGGGTCTCCATGCAGGTGCAGGGTGCCAAAGCTTTGCGCTGTCCTCGACTGCTTTGCCAGGCCACAGACAGGGATGGGAAGTGGAGCAACCAGGATGCAAACCGGCACCGATATGGGATCCTGGCATGTGAAGGCTAGGACTTTAGCCACCAGGCTACCATGCTGGGTCTTTCCCCACCCTACCCGCCACCTGCCTTTTTTGTTTTTGTTTTTAAGATGAAATATTTATTTGAAAGACAGTGACAGAGATGGAGAGATTTCATGCACTGATTCACTCCTCAAATAACTACAGCTGCTAGGGCAGGCTAAAGCCAGGAGCCATGATCTCCATCCTGGTCTGCCACATGACAGAACTTAGTACTTGGTCCATCATCTGCTGCTTCCCCACACAACCAATCCCAGCAGAACTTCTTAATCCTGTTTAACCATAACTTCATACCTGCTAATCAACTTCTCCCACCTTGTAATTTTAAATTGGAAAAAAAATGTTTTTTGATTAATTGCTTAAAAATGCCTAGATGGGCTCCAGTGGTGTGACCTCACAGTCATATAGGCACTGGTTTTATTCCCAGTTGTTTGCCTTCCAATCCAGCTCCCTGCTAATGCAGAGACTCCCGAGCCTTTGGGCCTCTGCCATGCATAGGAGAGGCCTGGGTGAAGCTCCTGGCTTTAGCCTACCCAATCCAGGCAAATAAGAAAATGAATTTTTTAGAATATGTAATAGACTGGCACTGTGGCATAGTTGGATAAAGCTGCTGCCTGCAGGACTACCGTTCCATATTGGTAGCAAATTGAGTCCTGGATGCTTCACAGTTCCCTGCTAATGCACCTGGGAAAGCTACAGAAGATGGCCCAAGAGCAGGGAGAACTTGATGAAGCTCCTGAATTCAGCCTGGCCCAGCTAAGGCCTTTGTGGCCATTTGAAGGGTGAGCCGGCAGATGGAAGATTAACTGTGCCTTTCAAATAAGTCTTGTAAAAATATCTTAATTGTAACAAAGATAGGAAGGACGAATTATGACCTTCATACTTGTCTAGGCTTTAGGAATGCAAACTGAATTGTGCCTGGATCAAAGAGATTGAGAGCTTAAGAAGGTGGATGGTGGGCTCAGTGTTGTGTAGTAGATTAAGCCACTGTTTGGGATGCCTGCATTGAGTTTTGACAACTCTTATTTCAGAGTCCAGGATGGTGTTCCTGGCTCCTGGCTTTGGTCTAAGCCTAGCCAGTCCCTAGCTATTGTGGCCGCTTGAGGAGTGAGCCAATAGATGGAAGATCCCCCTTTCTCTGCATCTCTCCCTCTCTGTTCCTCTGCCTTTCAAAACAAAACAAGTGAAGAGTGATGTTGATTGCTTTTTCTCTGCAGTGTGCTGGTTCTGGATGAGATGGATCAGCTGGACAGCAAAGGGCAGGATGTGTTGTACACACTGTTTGAATGGCCATGGCTGAGCAACTCTCGGTTGGTGCTGATTGGTTAGTACTCTTTTTTCATATATATATACTTCATTTCATTTCATCTGAAAGGCAGGGACAAAGATAGAAATTGTCTGCTGATTCATTCCCTGAATGCCTGCAATAGCTGAGGCTGGATCAGCTGAAACTAATAGCTAGAAATTCAGTCTGGCATCCCATGTGGGTTGGCAGGACCCTACACAGTTGAGCCATCATCTGCTGCCTCCCATTATGCAAGGAAACTGGAATTGGAAATTGCAGGGACTCAAACCCAAGAACTCCTGTATGGGTTGCAGGCATTTTAACTGCTACATCAAAGCCCCAACCCAGTGCTCAGGAGTTAATGTTACATGGTGATTCTAAAATGCTCTTGGGGCTGGTGTGGATAGCCCTCCATCTGTGAGTGCTGGCGTGCCAAAGGGTCCCAGTTCATGTCCCAGCTCCTACTTCCAATCCAGCTTCTTACTTATGGCCTAGGAACACAGTGAAGGAAGGCCCAAAGCCGTGGATTCCTGCACCCACATGGGAGACCTGCAAATAGCTCCTGCTCCTAGCTCAGCTCTGGCCATTGTGGCCATCTGAGGAATGAACTGGCAGATGGAAGATCTTTGTCCTTCTCTCTGTGAGTCTGCCTTTCCTGTAAAAATAAACAAATCTTTAAAATAAATAAGTGTGTTCTTGAGCAGGAGGAAGGGACTATCATGGTCTGAGAACTGTCTGCAAATCATACTGAAACTATTAAAAGCTCTTCGATCTATTTCAGCTTATTTATCACTTATTTGATCTTAAATCATCTTTCTGCCTTGTCAAAATAAAAAAAATGACTATCATGAGTATACATTTAAAATATTAATCTTAAAACCAATTTTGTTGACTCAGAATGGAAATGGTAAGGGTAAGTTTAGGGGACTAATTGGTGCGCTACTCATCACTGAAAACTTTGAAGCCTAATTTTGAAAGGACATTCTGTGATGACTGTGTCCACCTGACTCAATGGGTGTACACTTGTTGAGATGGCAGGGGCGCCAGAAGGAAGCAACAGTTGAAATGCTAAGTTAAACTGGAACTTTTATTTGTATGACAGAGGGTTTCATTGTACTCTTAGGATGGTCTGACCAGTGGTGATGGATGTTATTTATCTTCTCCTCAGGGATTGCTAATACCCTGGACCTCACAGACAGAATCCTGCCTAGGCTTCAAGCTAGAGAAAAATGCAAACCTCAGCTGTTGAACTTCCCACCATACACCAGAAACCAGATAGCCACCATCCTGCAGGATCGACTTAGCCAGGTGCGTCTCAGACATTGTGCCAAGTTGTGGGTTGCTTGGGTTGCTTGGGTTGCAGACACCCAACAGTAGTTAAAATGTTTTGCTTTCCTAAGGGAGCAGGAGTTCCTATGTACCATAGAATATTTTTGTGGAGGTTTCCACACCTGCCCCCATTTCTTGGCTGTCTCAGTGTTGAAATGCAAGCAGCAGTTAGAGGAGTCACTCAGGTGCTTCCTTAATGGCCTTTGGAAAACTCTTAAAAGGGACTCTAGGGGATTCTTGGTTTTTGGTTTTTTGTTGTGTTGTGTGTTTTGATGTTGTTTTTTTGTTTTGTTTGTTTGTTTGTTTTTCTAAATTTAAGTTCCAATTGCTTTCTCATTCTGAACCTCTATCACATTCCTATAAAATGCTTCAGATGGTGTGAAAGCTCTTAATCATGTGTGTTTAAAAGGATCTCTTAGCTATAAAGGGCAATTGGTCAAGTTTAGGCTTCAGTGTGAAAATATTTATGTGTATTAGACCCATGTGGTAGAGAGAAGGACTTACGCTTCAAACTGCTGTCTTCTGTGTCTTGCCCCAAGGCATCAAGAGAGCAGGTTGTGGACAGTGCTGCCATCCAGTTCTGTGCCCGCAAAGTTGCTGCTGTTTCAGGAGACGTTCGCAAAGCGCTGGATGTGTGCAGGTGAGTTATGGCGCTACTGGCAGTTTTTATTAAAAAGAAGAAATGCTGTTAATTGTCTCATGTAACTCAAGTGAATGTGACTTAAGAGGCTCCATTCTGCTACTTTTACACTCAGAAAGGCGGGCTTGTTTCTCAGTGGGGAGCTCTGGATTTCCACCGTGTTAATGTCTGAGACATTATCAGTCCATTACCTACAGAGGGAGAAACAAATGAGATGTTGCTGGCATTCCCTGTGGTGATTATAGATTGGTTAATTACATTTGTATTAAAAAAGACTCCAGTTTACTTTTCCATTAGCTGGTCTCAAGCAGGTTTATTTATGGAGCTGAACCATCTTTGCCCTTAGACGGTTTTCCCCGTCCTTTCCTTTGGTGAGCACCCCTTCCCTCTTCCAGTTGGTGGTCCCTCTCCGTGCTGCCCTAGTCCTTTCTCCCTTCCCATCCCCCCGCCCCTCCTGCCGAGGAAAGCCACTGTGCTGACTGATGAAATTTCTTCCTGCTCAGTAGGGACACTGGGTCCATTAAAATGATACTTGCTGTGCTGGCCCGCTGGTCCAACCTCCCCCTGCTGCCATGCACAAGATCCAGGTCTGTCTTTTGGCTTCCTGTGGGCAAAGTGCTTTGGAGAGAGCAGTGGGAGAGCAAGCTCTTCGCCTTGCTAGATTGCATGATCCTGAATTTCAAAGTTCTCCCTAGGCAGCATACATATGACTTGGGTAAAGACTGCAAAGCTAGGAGCAGTAGTCACATGGGCTGGCATGGTTTAGCCTACACCCAACCTAGATATATAAAAAACTTCAGACTTCCCTTTTAGGTCTGGTGTGTGGTAGATGGTGCTGGTTCCCTTAATCAGTCACCCACACCATATATCTTCTCTCCTCCCTTGACATTTTCTCCTCATCCAAAATGTTAGCTTTGGCTCAATGTAGGACAACCTACTTGGCATCTCCAAGGAAACCATATAGTGGTAAAAATTTCTCACATCCCTGGTCTATGAATTATTTCAAGGCTATTAAGTTCTCTTTCGCTGAGACATAATTCTGTTTTGTTTGGTGGCTTTAAAATCACAAATCATGTTGTTTTTACTTAATGTGTCTGCTTTTGAGCTTGAAGGTTTGGTGTGGTTTGTTTGGCTCAGACTAAATTAAAAAAAAAAATTTTTTTATAGGAGAGCTATTGAAATTGTAGAGTCGGATATCAAAAGCCAGACTATCCTCAAGCCACTGTCTGAATGTAAGTAGTTTATCTCCTTTCTTCTTCCTTTAAAATTGGGAGCTTAACTTTTTTTTAAATTAATTAATTTATTTTCATTGGAAAGTCAGAGATACAGAGAGGAGGAGGAGAGACAGAGGGGAAGATCTTCCGTCTGATGATTCACTATTCAAGTGGCTGCAATGGCTGGAGCTAAGCCAATACGAAACCAACCAAGAGTCCAGAGCCTCTTACGGGTCTCCCATGGGGTGCAGGATCTCAAGGCTTTCGACCATCTTCAACTGCTTTCCCAGGGCACAGGCAGGGAGCTGGATGGGAAGCAGGGATGCTGGGATTAAAGCCGGCGCTCATATGGGATCCTGGCACGTGCAAGGCAAGGACTTCAGCAGCTAGGTTACCACACTGGGCCCAGGAGGTTAACTTTTTTGAGAAAAGAGGTAGAAAGATGAAATGAGCATAATTAAATCCACATTCACCCATTTTTTTTGCATGTGTGTCTGTTTTTAGCCACTTTCATCTACTTTATTACAATCTGGCTTGCCAGTCCCACAGTCCATGTATTAATGGGAAATGAGTTCACCAGGATATTATTACATAATTGGTTCTTGGAATGAGAACTATAAAGTCAGATCAGCTCTTCTCTGGATACCTATGTTGACTGTAGATCTAAGGCAAACGGATCAGGAAACTGACCAAACCGTGAGTTCAGCTTCGGATATCTCCACCCGTAAAGAAAGTCTAAGGGTGGACATACAGAGATCAAGGCTGCTTCCATACACTGCAGGCTTCCACAAATGCTAAAAATAATTTTCCTTTCCCTCTTTTTTTTTTTTTTTTTTTTTTTGCCTTAGGTGGCCATGAACTATATATGTTGTCATTGTTGGATGTCTAGTGTTAATTCGTGGAAATAGGACAGTCTAACCTCATTATTTCTTCACTCCCACAATGTTGCTTTTTGGTTTTGTTCTGTTTTTAAATGATTGATCTAGGAGGCCCAGACACAGAAATTTGAAATAGTTCGATGGAGCTAAGCCAATCCGAAACCAAGAGCCTTACCTTAGTTCATTCACATAGGAGACCAAGAGGAAGTTCCTGGCTCCTTTAGTGCACTCTTGTGACCACTTGGGAAGTAAAATGAATGGGAGAGTGATATCCAGTCTCTCACCTCACTCTTACAGATAAACAGATATTTTTTTTAAAGCATACACAATGTATATATATATGGAAGTTGTAAATTTCTGCCGTGAGTTATAGGCTAATTTAATTACTGCCTTTTGATATGTATGAGATTGACTTTGAATGGTTTCAGAAAGCTGTAGGGAGACTGACTTCAAGTGAGTATAAGAAAATGTTTTTGTTTGTTTTAAATATTTGTTTTTATTGCAAAGGTAGATTTACAGGGAGAAAGAGAGAGAGAAATCTTCCATCTGTTGGTTCATTCCCTAAATGGCTACAACAGCCAGAACTAAGCTGATCTGAAGCCAGGAGCTATTATTCCAGGTCTCCTACCTCCCATGTGGGTGCAGGGAGGCAGGGGGTGGCATTCTCTGTTGCCTTTGCAGGCCTTAAGCAAGGAGCTGCATGGGAGATGGAGCAGCTGGCTGGGACATGAACCAGCCCCCATATGAGATTCAGAGGATTAGCCAATTGAACCATTGCACTGGCCGGCCTTGAAGAAATTTTCTAATAAGCACAACTGATTGGGCTTCTTTGAAATGTAGTGTGCTCACACCCTTAGAGATAATTAAAGAAAAGCCGGACTGATGATCACATGTTGGCATTGTTTTAGAGGGGACTCAGCTGGGGGTAGGGAGTTACTAGGTAGGCTAACTTAAGAATAGACCTTAACATTCCTTTCAATTTGTAAGATTCTGTTACTTGATCTGTGATCTCTGGTTTCTCCATTAGTCTCCTGCAGCATCCTATTTGTGGTAATGAAATAGAAGCAAATTATTGTGCGGCAACTGCAAATGGTTTCAGGAAGTAACTTTGGGCAAAGGTTGTTACAGAGTAAATCCCTCTTCTGTCTTGCGATTTATGCATCTCCGAACAATGAGGCCATAGTCCTGCACAGCACAGCGCATTGGCAGTTTCCCAGCCTCTGGCTTGTGAGATGGTGCTATCTGTTAGGATATCCAGTGACATTTGCTCAAGTGTTGCTCTGCTGAGGATCAGTTTGGGCGAGTGAACTAAACCTCTAAAGTCACATGTGGAGGCTGTCGGGGGGCAGGGGGGGACGGATGTGAAGTGGACTTTACCGGCCGCATTTTAGCTCCTCATTTGCTTCCAAATACTTAGTATTTGGAAGAAAGTGTTTCCAGCTTGCTTTTTCTTTTTTTCTTTCCTGATTACGGGCACAGTCATCTTTGCTCCAGGGTTCTCTTCTTTACCTCCAAGGCATTAGGAACTCTCAGGGTAGAATACAGTGGCTCTCTGTCTAATCCTTCCTCTTGCGGGAGGTGGATTTTGTCTCCTTGACAAAATTGCATTCCATGAGAAAAATAGCTCCCTCTCTGCCCAGAGAAAGGATAAGTACTTTCCAAGCCATCCCACATTATTCCGGCATCTTTCTAAGGACAGCATTGTCTCGTTGGCTGCCATCTAGTTGGAACTTTAGCATTGCCACTGCATGACTACTCTTGAGTTTCCTTTAACTAAAATGTAATATCATCTGCCGGAATAGACACACTAGCATGCAATATTTTAAAAGTCGAATTAGGCTTGATTCATTCATTTACTTTATAGGTAAGTCGTCCTCTGAATCTCCGGTTCCCAAGAGAGTTGGTCTTACTCACATCTCCCAAGTCCTCTCAGAAGTTGATGGGAATAGGATGGCTTTGAGCCGAAACGGGGCACAAGATTCCTTCCCTCTTCAGCAGAAGATTTTGGTGTGCTCTCTGCTGCTCGTGACGAGACACCTGAAAATCAAAGAGGTCACTCTGGGGAAGGTGAGTTGGGCTAGAAGCTGAGGCTGAGGTGATCTTCTCTCAAGTCCTGTCATACTCCAGCTGATGGAAATGAAAATGGATTTTAACAGCAAGAATAAACACTAATACTGTCTAACTAGCTATCCTTGAACCATTGATCTTCCCATCCTTCTCCCTTTACAGCTCCCCATGAGTTACATAAAACCCCTTTCCTGGGCCCGGCCTGATGGCCTAGTGTCTAAATCCTTGCTTTGGCAAGCACTGAGATCCCATAAGGACGCTGGTTTGTGTCCTAGCTGTTCCACTTCTTAACCAACTCCTTGCTTGTAACCTGGGAAAGCAGCAGAAGATGACCCTTGGCCTTGGGACCCTGTGTCCATGTGGGAGACCTAGCAGAGGTTCCTGGCTCCTAGCTTCAGATGAGCTTAGCTCTGGCTGTTGTGGCCACTTGGATGCGGTAAATCAGTGGATGGAAAATGTTTGTAAATCTTCCTTAAAACAAAAACAAACTTTTCCTACATTGCATTGTAGGTTATTTGGAAGAAATAGGATATTCAGACAACGTTTTGCAAGTCCAAGTCCATATTTTTTTAAAGATTTATTTTTTATTTTATTGGAAAGTCAGATATATAGAGAGAAAGATCTTCCTTTTATTGATTCACTCCCCAAGTGACTGCAAATGGCTGGAGCTGCACCCATCTGAAGCCAGGAGACTGGAGCCTCCTCCAAATCTCCTATGGGGGTGCAGGGTCCCAAGGCTTTGGGTCATCCTCTGCTGCTTTCCCAGGCCACAAGCAGGGAGCTGGATGGGAGGCAGGTCGGCTGGGACATGAACCAGATCGCAGCATATGCAAGGTGAGGACTTTGGCCACTAGGCTACCGTGCTGGGCCCAGATCCATATTTTTAAGGAAGGTTATATTGCAAGGGTTACAATCCCCCGCTCCCCGCCCAGGGATGTGACTCAACCTGCATTCTGTCTTGTTTCCTTCCAGTTGTATGAAGCCTATAGTAGCGTCTGTCGCAAACAGCAGGTGGCAGCTGTGGACCAGTCAGAATGCTTGTCACTTTCAGGGCTCTTGGAAGCCAGAGGCATTTTAGGATTGAAGAAAAATAAGGAAACTCGGTTCACAAAGGTAAAGCTAACTTTCTTACCAGCAAGTGTTTTTACTTGTTTGCTCTGGAGAGTTTATTTTTGTTAAAATAAAGACTAGAAAAATGACCACAATAGATCATTTGCTTTGGACTTGGTAAAGGTTTTAGGTGTAAAAGGACAAATGTGTGCTATCAGTGAGCTGTTGTGTGTGTGTGCATATATGATGCCTCACTTCCCTCTTGTGAGAAGAGTTTGATATGGTAGGAGTTTGTGAAGTAACTTCGCTTCTTGTGATTTCTTCATGACAAATAATACTTTCCTTTTTCCAGGTGTCTTTGAAGATTGAAGAGACGGAAATAGAACATGCTCTGAAAGACAAAGCTTTAGTTGGAAACATCCTAGCTACTGGATGGCCTTAACTTGGACACTTCCAGCGCAGCGGACAGCATTCAGCTGGCAGTTAGAGAGCGAAGGAGTCTTCCTCTTTAGTACTTTATATGCTCAGGTCTGAAAACAAATATGGCCTTTTTTACTTGAAACCAATGAATTTTAGTCTGTAGACTTGTGAACGCTAGCACAGGATAACGTCTTTGGATTTTATTATTTCTGTCCCTAAAGGTGACCAAGTAGACCCTCTGCATTTACATTCACTACCTCTGCTACTTGTCCCTCTGACCAGTTGTGTTTGTGTGGTGGAATGCACATCTACTTACCTCTTATTTTCCTCAAACATACATGTTTTTTTATAACAACTTTGAAGTTAGGGTATCAAGATGGTCCTGAGAGCAAGCCCACATGGTGATTTGGAGGACACTTAGATCAAAGAGTTTCTTTGTGGGGAGATTCCATCCCATCACTTTAAAGACTCAATGATTTCCTTGGGCGGGAGAGGCTGGTAAAGAGAATGTAACTCTGCAAATTGTGAATATATTTATCTTATTTATTTTTAAGTTGTAGTCTTTGGGTTTTTTTTTTTGTTTAAGCAATCACAGTTGAAGAGAGCTGAAGGTTCCAAAAAGCAATGTGAAAATTCCTTCCAAACTGTTCCGCAGACTGGGCTGCCCTCGCATGCTTCAAGATGACTTCTTTGGGTTGGAGTTCCATCTGAATATATATCCAAATGCACAGTCACAGTTCCTCTTTTTCCGGGTTTGGTTTCCACTGCAGCCAATGGCAATCTGTAACTACAACGCCAGAGGGCACCATCACAACACTGGCTGGAACTGTGGGCTTGGGGCTGGGGTGTTTTTGAGGGGAGGAAGATACCTAAAATTTCGGTTTGTTTGGGAGACAGTATTTTTATAGCCCAAGCAAATGCTCAAAATGCAAAGCATGTGATGTGAGCCATCTAAAAAAGTCACGATCAAGTCTCTGCTTGTTCCCGAGTTCTGCTGTCTCCTTGCGCCTTCCTGACATTGGCCTTGAGTTTGGAAACTTGATATGTTACAAATGATCTGTTGGCCACTGTTTCATTCATTCTGCCCACTGTCTCCTTGTAATGTGATCTGAGCCACAGCAGGTGGTATGGGGTAGCAGGGCAAGCAGAGAGAGCCCTCTGAAATGAACACTGCCCTCTGGAGTGTGCAGCCGAGGGCGGGCTGTGAACAGCAGTCTGAGTATCTTGCTTCCCCCACACTCCAGTATTAGAGCATCCATTTCCTCCAGGGGTAATTTGCAAGTGAGGAACACAGTTTCTGGACCTAGAAGGTCAGAACGTGTCTGGGGCTACAAGGGTTAACAAGCGTAATTGTGAAGATTGTCCGAAGGCTGATGGAAAGCAGAGGCTGAATGGGATTGAGAACAGATGCGAGGCTTGATTTAAATTACATTTTATTGGATGCTGCAGCCTTAAGAGACGTGACTGCTTTACAGTTTGTTTCCACACTGTGGGCAGCTGCTGTCTGCTCTGTGTCCACAGTAGGATCCTGCCCAGAAAGGAGTGGCCTCCCCACCTCGCTGTGTGTGAGGCTTGGCGCCTTCCTCCTGGCTCCACGGCCCAAGTCAGGACCATGGCTTGACTGGCAATGGGGCTGCCGTGAGTCCTCTCTGGCTCTCTGCCAAGACTGCATTTCCAGCATCCTCCAAGAGGCAAATCTCTCCCCTTCCTCTGGTTTTTGGAAATAAGGTTTTCTGTACACCGATTTGGTAGTTTCCTTTCCTTGAGTGCTCCCCCCACTGTCAATTTCTAGGTCATTGCTACTCTTAAGACTTCAGCAATTGGAACGGGGTTGGTTCTGTCAATGGTGCGTGAAGCAGACTTAAAGAGTCCCTGCTTGGCTTCCGTTGCCCTTGTGGAAGCAAAAGCTGATATATGTTCGTCAGTAAAGTCTTAAGTGTAGCTCAGACAGCCGGGAAAGAAAGGAGGAAGAAAGTCTTTCCTGACTGGCTTTTTGTCACTGGGACCAAGAGCTACAGGAAGGCGGTGGAGTCACGGGGGAGGGGTTGGGTTCACCATCTAGTTCCTTGCCAGGGTCACAGGTGGAGTAGCGGCAAAGATGCTGACCTAGATTCTTCCTCTGAAAAGTGGTGGGCTATGTGTCTGTATTCTGGTTTATCTTTTAATTTTTTTTGTCTTCAGAGAAGCGAACCAAGCTTCCTCAGAGTGTTGTACATGGCTGTGGAAGGAGCAAAGATGCAATAAAGTGGCTCAATGAAGATTGTGGTTGGCTAACTGCAAGAGTGTATGAGAGCCAAGCTACCCAGAGATCCAGGAAGTTGACAGAGCCTATTCCTTCCCCATTGCTTCCTTTACTACATACCTCCCTACCTTTTGTATATAAAAAAGGGAGACACCAGTAAGAACTGGTAAGGTCGGGGCCCAGTGCGATGGCGCAAGTGGTTAAAGGTCCTCGCCTTGCACGCCCGGGATCCCATATGGGCGCCGGTTCTAATCCCGGCAGCCCCGCTTCCCTTCCAGCTCCCTGCCTGTGGCCTGGGAAAGCAGTCAAGGACGGCCCAAAGCTTTGGGAACCTGCACCCACGTGGGAGACCCTGAAGAGGCTCCTGGCTTCGGACCGGCATAGTATTGGCCCGTTGCGCTCACTTGGGGAGTGAATCATCGGACGGAAGATCTTCCTCTCTTTCTCTCCTCTCTGTATATCCGCCTTTCCAATGAAAAAATAATAAAAATAAATCTTTTAAAAAAAAAAAAAAAGAACTGGTAAGGTATGACTTAGGTCATGCTTTAGGAAATACCCATTTAGAGGTGTTACCTTGACTACTAAGGGAGAAAAAGCCAGGATTGGGCGTTAGAGGGATCTTTCATTTGCCGATTCACTCCCCCAGATGGCTGCAGCAGCCAGGGCTGAGCTGGGCCAAAGCAGTAGTGTGTCTCCAGCACTCAGTAAACTGCTACTGGTAGCTAGTCAGTGCTTTTGCAGGAGCAGATAAGTGAACCAAATAAGACACTGCCTTCCTTTCATCCTGGGGATGCTTCTCACTGGAGAGAAACGGTATTTTTGCCTTGAAGTGGAACAGGCTCCTGCAAAAAAGGGGTGCTCCATCTTGCCAAATGGGGTCCTGACACAGTTGAAGGGCAACTGTTGTCTTCCCAGGTGTGTCCTGTCATTCCTGATGTGGTTGTGCTCAAGGCAACTTCCATGTTGCTCATTGGGAAGAGGTTCCTGCCTGTGTGGCTGTCACCTAGTGTCCCTGGAGATTGGCCCGAAGCTGCTCCTCTGTGTCAGGGATGAGGGAAGAGCCCATCTTTGATGTCCCACTTTTTCACTTTTGGAAAAAGCCGTGACCTCAGATTCCTCCTGAACAAGCAAGGTGCCCTCCAAGACGTAATCTTGAGCCGGGAACAGTGCAGGTCTTCCTCTTAAATGTGCGTTCTTGGGGGGCCGGGGGTGGCAAGGCTTGCCCTCCAGCTTCCTCTTGATTTTTCAACCCCAGCCCCAAGGCATTGGCTGTAGAAGCTAATTGGGTGCAAGGGGCATGGGTAAAGCCTGGAAACTGGCGAAAGGAGAGAGCCAACTCCGTTTTTTAAAAAGCTCTAATTGAGTTCTGAATCAGCCTCGCTGCCTTTGATCCCTCCTCTGTTTCCCACACTGCCTGAAAGAGCCAGATCAGCACTTTATAACAAGGGTGCGCCTGCTCCCCGCACCGCCCCCCTCCTGACGCTCTGCTGCCGCCATCCACTGCTTGTCTCCTTCAGTTAAGATAATGAAGATGCTGAGAGATAAAATGTGTATTTAATAAGGGTGGGGGTAGGGAGGCAGAGAGGGGCAGCCAGGGCCTTCCCTAGTTTGGGACCTTGCCAAGAAGCTGAAAGCAAAGCTAGAGTAAGACTTGGCCCCAGGGTGTGGGGGTTTCTGGGCCTCCATCCAACTGACTTCACTGCCTGCTGTTTGCCCTAAATTCCCCCACCTCCACCCTCTCACCCCCACACTCTTTCTCTCTCCTTCCCAATGGGAAAAAGAAAGGAGTCGTCTCACTTGGACTTTTTCTTTTCAGCTGGTAACTTAGCTTTTGCCTTGGTCCTCCCCTCCTCACACACACACACCCAAACCCCAGTGTCAGCTGCAAGGTCGGGCTAGGGCAGCCCCCTCTAGCCCAGGCCTGTAGAAGCTGTGGGTTCACAGTGGGGGGTGAAAAAGCTGCAGTTAATGAAGACCAGCTGCTTGTCTGGGTTCTGCCTACAGCTAGCTGGAGGCCAGCCTTTGGTGGTGGTTAGAGGTGGGGGGGGAGGGTGACCTCCATCGATGGGCACAGGGATATCCTGTGGCAGCCAGGCTTGGTTTTCGCCTCAGTCTGTCAGAGAGTTGTCTGTTTCCTTCCTCCCCACGGCAGGTAACACTCGGCCCTTATGGAGCTTTCTAACTGTAGTGGTGGCCCAGCTGAGATCTGAGGATCTCCAAGCCCTTTGGTAAACACTCATTAACTGCCTGGGAAGAACCCAGAGCCCTGTTTAACAGCTGGGAGAGAACTGAGGCACATCAGGGTGAAAGGCTTGACCTAAGCTCACCCCTGTTGGACTCCACCCTGGCGCTCTCCATCCTTAGCTCTCCTTTTCCCGGTTCTTCCTGCGAGACGGCAAGAGGTGGAGGCAGTGCTGCCTGGCTGTCCCTTGCCTCAAGTCCCTCCTGGCCTTCCCAGGCCCTTTACCCCGGGACGCTTTCCCTGTTCTGCGACTCCCTTGCCAGATGTTCTCACACCAGCACTCTGAACTTCTCTATTTGCTTTCCCCTTGCCCACCTGGCCTCCAAAGGCTGAGTGTCCTAAGCTTGAGTGAGTGACCTTCACACTGATCTGTAGTGTTAAGTGCTTTCTGTCCCCTGTAGTTATCCAAAATGGCACCTGGAGAAGCACTGCCCGCCTTTCACTTGCTCCTACAGAGGGCCAGGAAGGGGTGCCGGTTCACCTCCTGGCTCTGCATCCTGTTCCTCCCTTGGCAATCGCCCTTTCTTGTCATTGGTGTAACCCAAAGCCTGTTTCACTCCTCAGCCCTACCTGCTCAGGCTGGCCTGTGGATTTGCATGTTCCATATACTCCCATCAAATGCACCCATCTTACAATCTAAGAATGTACAACTACCAGTTTCCACTGGCCACCTAAGGCATCCCCTTCCCTTTTTTATTTGCTGAAAACCACCGGGGGCTTAGCCCTGTGGGATGGTTTCCTAAGCATGACAGGGAGGGGTTAGACTTTAATCTCTGAGGAAGACCAGGGACCAGCACCTGTCCAAAATGAATATTACTTACTCAGAATGCTCAATGGCTCAGCAGAAACAGGAAGGAAAGGGATCCTAACCTCGTTTAGCACCAAAAACTACATTCATCTGCTCAGGGCCAGCAGAAGTGATTTCCTCAGCCTCGCTAAAGGCATCCATGCGCTGCATATTTGAGATTGGGGACTGTGTCTGGTCTGGTCCCAGCGTGTGACTCAGACCCCTGTCTCCTCCAGCGAGCATTTCTCTGCTGTCAGCTGTGCACCCGCTGACCTAGTCAGGGCTGGTAGAAGAGGGCGGGGAGTGTCTACCATTGAGACAGAGGTCTTTAGGACCCAACGGGAACCCGTGTCTCTTGCAGCAGCCTAACCCAGAAGCAGGGGGGAATCCTGAATCGAGCTGAGGGCTTCCCCGGTTCTCCTGGGAACCCCATCGCCCCCCTGCCAGCACACCTGAG